CCCAGAGAAATGCTCCCTGCTAAAGGTGCTTGGCTTAGAAAGACCCCAGAGAAATGCTCCCTGCTAAAGGTGCTTGGCTTAGAAAGACCCCAGAGTAATGCTCCCTGCTAAAGGTGCTTGGCTTAGAAAGACCCCAGAGTAATGCTCCCTGATAAAGGTGCATGACTTAGAAAGACCCCAGAGTAATGCTCCCTGATAAAGGTGCATGGCTTAGAAAGGAGTCCTGTTTAAATAAACAAATGACACACATGGTGCCATTTAGGGGTCCACCTGAGAGCCTAATTCACAGAAAAGCAGGTGAGGATGTGAACTCAGCCCATTCTGTTAGTGAGAACCCGCTATCGATACTGACATTTGCTTAATGAGAGCGGCCAGTCTCAGGCCCAAAGAGTCCAGCTGATGGCGTCTTGATGAGGAAATGAGTGAGTATGTAAATGGATGGTTTTGTGTTTGGGGGGTGGGTGCTGGGGGGGGGGCACGCCAATCCCAGCTGGGTGTTGACCTCAAGCTGACCCCATTGTCTCCATGCTAATAGGAGCGGCAGCGGCCTGACTCATGAACTTTCCATGGCCCCCTTCCCCCCCCCCCCCGGCTTCATCCCATCACCCCCCCCCACCGTCCCCCCCCCCCCCCCCCCCCCCCCCCTGGCTTCATCCCATCAGAGACCGCTTGTGTCCCCCCCACCCCAACCAGGAACAAAGCTTTGGGGTGGTGGTGGTGGTGGGGGGGGGGGGGGGGGCAAAGCGCGTGTCGCCACCTGGAGCTCACTGACCCAAGTTCCTTCCCCTGATCTTCTTCTTCTTCGTGTTCCTCCTCTTTCTGATCTTCATTAGTGGCCAATTGTGTTTATAAGAAAAGTCGCGCACCCAGTTCACCCATTAATCCAGCTGGGAGGTGTGTACTGGAGAAGGTCACTTTAAGTACATTTCCCAAGGGTTCAACAGCAAAACCCGCTGCAACTGGAGGCTTCTTTTTATAGAACTTCTGGTAGAAATGAGGATTTGTCCCAGTTGTTACAAATATCCTTTATGAAAAAAAACTACCTTAATGGAAAGTGAATCGCTTAATGTGTCTTTTATTTTTTAATTCCTCCAGTTTATGGATTGTGGGTGTCAAGAAAACCTGCAGCTTAATGACCAGGCTGTTGATTATTTTGCAGTGTTGCCATTAGCTACAAAAAAGTGAAACATACAGACATGAACACCGGAAGGACATCTGGGTTAACTCTGCTTTTGATACGACTGCTTTGAAACAACTGTGTGGGGGGGGGGAGGCAATCTGTAGAGAAAACGGTCTGTTTACACACAGAACCATCCGTCCAGCAACAACACAGAGTGTTAATAGGATCTGCCATGGCAGGATAAACCTGGGGGGGCACCATGTGTGTGTATTGTGTATATGTGTTGGGGGGAGTTTGAAGGGGTGGAATCCATGCTGGTGTCAGCATGCCATGGGGGGGGTGCTCAGCAGGGAGGTAGGAGAGCCTCCATTGGAGCAGAACTGAAGCAGTGACTCACAAACAAAACAAAAAAAGACCTTGTTCCTTGAGGAAGATGTGAAACTGCACAATGCTGCACAATTATTTGACATGACTTGTTCAAAAGAGTGAAGAATTTCTTTCAATTTTTATCAACAGACAATTAAGTACCTTTAGAAGTTAAATTGATGAATAGGCATCTGTGTGCCAGCTTTACCACAGCCCTGTGCTAAATATGCAGCGGGAAGATGGATGAGTGTATGACTTTAACATTGAGCGTCATAGTCTGTTCGGCTTAAAAAATGGGTGGCACTACTGTCATCACGGGTAACTTTGTGTTGTTCACATTAAAACATGAATTTAATTGCAATGAAATAATGCAACAAATATTGTGACATACTATGGGAACCTATTTGGCATGCAGTTCTCTACTCAGCATGACGTATAAACTTTAATCTGAATTTCTAAGTGCAGAGGATGATTAGAGAGCAGCGGATCTCCGTACACGGCGGGACGGCATTTCTCCTGCTGTAATCATGCAAATCCTGAACAAACAGCTTGAGCTGCTCTCTAACTAAGATAAGGGTATTTAATTATAAAGCTGTGTGCACAAGTTTAACACCCAGGAACCTGTAGCAGGGGCCCACTGTCACGAAATATGCCAGCATGGCTGATCTGTGGATTCGCCGGGCAGAATCTGGGGGGTTCAGCGTCAGCATGGAGATGGATGACAGCTGTAAAACATGGAAGCTAGCAGGTGCTTCTGGGAGACCCACCTGTGATACGTGTCCGGCTGTATGTTACCCTCCCCCCCCACACACACACACACTCGGTCCCCATGATGGCAGACTTCTGTAATCTCCCTGCAAATGCGTGAGAGAGACACCTACCGGCAATCATTACCGGTCCGTAAGCGGCCAGCCAGCCGTTCCTCCCACCC